CCCGCTTGGACGCAGTCCTGTGCCACGTGCTTTAGGTGACCCTGCGTGTGCAGGGGGGTTGGACTAGATGATCTCTAGAGGTCCCTTCCAACCTTAAGCATTCTATGATTCTAAGGAGAGCCCCAGCGGAGACCAGGTCAACCTCAGCATTTGGGGAGGAACTCGCTGCTTGGTGCGGGATGCCCCCGGCCTGGGGGATGACATTTTCTCATACATTTGCTTTTTGGTTTTTAGTGTTTATTAAAAAAAAAAAAAAAAAAAAAAAAAACACTTTTTTTTCCCTCTTCCCTTGCCAAAAGCATCAAGCGTCAGGCTGCAGGTTCCTGACCTTTCTCCTGCCCTGAACTGAGCCCCATTCATTAGGCCGGCTCTCCGGGGGGTGGGCCAGCAAGGAAAACAGCCAGCGGAGCCCAGGGAAGGGAGAAGGAGGCTGGAACAGGTTACAGTGAGGGGAAACCACTCAACCCTCCCAACATCCACCAGGACTCGGCCTCCAGCAAGAGTGAGCAAGTCCTGCTGGTCGTTGGACCCAAATGTTCTCTTCCAAGGAAGGATCTTCACCTGGGATGTGGATTTTTTACTGCACTCTTTTACAATGTTCAGCATCTTTCCAAAGCCCCCATGCAAGCTTGGCTGACCGCAGAGCTGTCAACCCCCACCTGGCTCACTTCCCAAATTCCCTCTCGTACCGATAGTGATCTGCCTTGCTAAATCCTACCCTTTGGGCTTGGAGAAGGGGCCGGGACCTCTCTTCCCTGGCCCTGCAACAGCAGCGCCAAGTCCAGCTGAAGGCTACAACCAAGTGGGCATGAGCTGCCCTTCACCGGTGGCCAATGCGATCTCCTGGGCTCGCAGAAGGCATTCGGTGTCCTGGCAGAGCTGCTCTCCATGCAACCCTCAACGTGCTCCTTGGCTAACACATCTCGTCTGCTTCCACATCTACCCAAATTGGGGGTTGCGCTGTTTTTGCAAGCAGTTTGCAACACTGGGGCATGAAGATGGGGTCCACACCGGCCCCCGGCGGCAGAGGAAGACTGAAGGAGGGTCTTCCTCTTCCCATGGAGCACCTGTGATCCAAACAAAATGCTCCCAACTCCTCAAAACCCCATTCAAACATGCTCTTCATCTAACTAAAATACACCAAAAAAAAAAGAAAAAGAAATATTAAAAAAAGATGATCACTTTGGAAGGCATGAAGATGGGGTCCACACCGGCCCCCGGCGGCAGAGGAAGACTGAAGGAGGGTCTTCCTCTTCCCATGGAGCACCTGTGATCCAAACAAAATGCTCCCAACTCCTCAAAACCCCATTCAAACATGCTCTTCATCTAACTAAAATACACCAAAAAAAAAAGAAAAAGAAATATTAAAAAAAGATGATCACTTTGGAACATTGCTGCAAACTGTGTTTATTTTCCTTTCTGGCCTGGGTCTCTCCAGTTGGGAATTTTCAGTGCTGCACTCCTGTGTGTGGAAGCAGAGCTGCCAGTAAATCAGAGCAAATTGAAAACAAATGCTCTTTCATGTGGAGGCATTCAGCTTTGTTTCACAGCCTGTGGAACTAATCATATCCCTCCATGAGTCAACTCTCCTATCAGCTCCTCATTAAACTAAATGGCTACAATTACATTTGTGGAGGGGGGAAGAGAAAAAAAAAAAAAAAAAAAAAAAAGGGGAAAAG